ATAAAATGCCGATTAATCATACTTAACTCATTGAATATCAAATTTATAAGAAAAACATCTTTTATTTGAAGCATTTTAACACTTGTGTTCTAAATTTTGATGTTTGATCGGGCACGTGATAACCAGGTGTTACGCGTCTCGTCGAACGTATTTAAATTAGAGAAACGAACAGGTGTAATCGTCGTTGCCCCAAACGTCGTTCTTCAATTTCAGTTTTCGTTTCGCCAGCATCCACGCCAATACCCAGCGACCGATAAATTAAACCGATATCTCTTCCGGTTTGAAAGCAAGGGTAAATTGGCGATAGGTACAATGGACGGAAAGGCTCGTTTTCCGTTCGTCCTTTTTCCCTTCTCTCCCGATCCTATCGAAAGATCTATTTTACACGAGCATGCTCCATGAAAAATCTCACCGTTTCCATTTTATTTAAACCCACCCATCGCTCCTCTGTTCGAACGCTTTCTTTCTTTTTGACTAATTAGCGTAAATCTCCATAAGCGTTTCCAGTTTTGCATAATCGGGTTAGAAGCCGCGTAACGGCGTCGAACCCGGATGTCCGACACCAGAAGCGTGTCTACGGGAGAAAGCGCGATTTTAAAGAAGCATCGACCAATTTTTTTTACCTATCCAACGATACGCGTAAACACGGAAACGGTCCGATTTTTCTGTACTACGCGATTCCACCTAAGATAGCGATCCGAGCACGCGAAACAAACGCACGCGCGACTTCCTCGATATTTAAATTACATAACCACCGGTTGCGTTTGTGATTTTAGAGAATATCACACCTTTCTGTATTTTTATCAATCGGTTCAAACAGAAAGAGCAATTTTTATACGCTTAGGAAGTCTCTTCATTTTTATAATAGTCTCATTTATTAATATTCATTGTGCTTCTGCTTTTCATAATGAAAGGAGACTGGGAATTGATTTAACACTAGATTGCCCAAGGAAGTAATTTTGACTGGTTTTGGGCAAATGTACAAATAATAATGCATAAATTATTTTTTTCCCAAGTGAAGTAAATTTTTTTTATTGTTAACATTTACTAATAACTTGTTATATGACTGTAAATAATATAAATAATATTAAAAATTAATTTTAGACAAATTTCTTTACACATTATTCTTTCACAATGCAGTCATTTTTACTGCTTTGGGCAATATAGGTATATACTAAGTTTCAATCTTTCTAGTGTTAAGAACCTGATAGTGTAACAGTAATTGATTATAATTCAGTATATATCTTGATTAACTCGATGAAATTAAATTTACTAGCGTACTGAGAAATACGTGGAAACTAGTTTCTCACTGTGTGACAAGGTGTACGACCCGCGAGCGAGAAAATCATGTACAATATTTTTCCTTCAAACTGAGTGAACGTGCAAGGGGAATGGGACGTCTGATCTATGGAAATAATCGCGATCCAGCAATTGCACTGATTAAATCAATTTCTCTTAACGAACCGATCGCTGTTCTCGTTATTCCACCGGATATACTGAACGATCGGTGGCTCTTCGTAGAAACGAGGAATCGGTTTGAAGAGCCTGCAGGGGTCGATGTAACTCGGTGTCTTAACGGCGGAGTACGACGAGTGTCGAAGGTAGATTGCTCGTCGAATAATTTATCGGTAATAGAAGCGAGGAAGCAGGACAAGCAAGTCTCGTAACGAGGATAGAATTCACGCACTGTCCCGTCCTTGTCCCGATTTTTCCACGGCTGACCCGCGGCTTTTGCAACGCTCCGCGACGTATTACGCGAAAAAAAAAGGGCACGCGACTGCATAATTTTGCAACCCGTTCCGTCGTAACCTCGAGGTCGAACGTTCGATTCTCTCCCCGTCGCAGAATCCATTTCCGATACGATCGGCCGTTTATCATTTCATAGCGAAATTTTCGCGCCTCGATGTGTCGATTCTCCCCGTCGCTTCGCAACGCCTCGCAGCTCGTGTCGGCTCCGCGCCGCGCCGGTTTGACGTCACCGCGAGACGAACGACGTGACCGCGGTGATAATCGAGCAGGGAAACGCTTAATAGTTTCGTCTGATTAATGGCCGTTCTTCGTTAAACCACGTGCACCGCAGGTAGAATCGTTGCTAGCAATCAAAATCTTCATTCCCTCGATCATACTCGTTGATCTACCCCACGCGCGGTTTAGTTAAATTATATTCCTGATTTTAACGATTTTTCGACTCCTGATCGACTTTCGCGTCAAACGCTCATAGATCTGTTCGCTTCGATCATTCATTTCAATTTGTTTTCTCGATCGCTCACGGATAAGGGGAAACATACACAGTTTCGATAAAAGGCTCGTGCGTGCAGTTGACATGAATCACGAATCTTGTCGTTTACCGTGTAAGTACGACAGTCCGGTGATAACTTTTAATGAAAGCCTCCGAGAACGTGTTCGTGTAGAATTTCGGCGTACGGAGTACAGAGCAGTATCCACGCCGGTTGATTTCCCGTTCGTGATCTATCGTCACGTTCCACGGATCGCGATTCAATGTGCAAAGAATGTAAACGATCATATTGTTACGTACGTACCAGTCTGTTGATAGTTTGGAATACTTTTCGACTCATACTTTATTAA